TATGAGTTTTTCATTGTCATTAGAATTAGAATTGGGAGGTCTGTATATTAGTGCAACTCTAAACATTGACGAAGTGAGTGCGTCATAACTCTGAAGGCATAGAAGCTCTGCTTTCAAGACAGGAGTAGGAATAGTAGTCAAACTGAGTGAATTCTTTGCTATGCAACACACCCCACCACCTCTCTTTCCATGACGGTCGAGGCGAAAAGCGTTGTAAGGACGACCGCATAGTAGTTCAGCATTAGTTATTCTAGCTGACAGCCACGTTTCAGTGATAAAGATAAGGTCTGGTTCATACAGATCAAGAAAAAAGTGGAGGTGGTGCAATTTGTTGCCCAGACTTCTACAATTGAAGAGATAACACTTCATTCCAGGGGGTGTACCGTGACGAGCTAGAGGTTTCCCGGCCCTCCTGATTTAGGAAGTTCATCAGAACGCCTCAACTCGCCGCGGTACACCACCCAAACCGGCCATTGAGTTGCTTATTACGCTCTCTACACTCTTGACGAAGTTCATATTCACGTTTCCGCTCTGCAGGCGTTAAACTTTTACGTACAAACACGTTAGGCTGAGCGGAGGTCCGTAAACGACGACTGTTGGAGAGCGCAGTAACCCAGTGAGCCTTGGATGGAAGAACAACTTTGACAAGACGTGGATGTGTTAACCCAGGCTTACCCATGCGGTAAACCTCCACTGGCCTGCACTCTACACCCAGTATATCTAGGACTGCAGTAACTTTGGATTCCACATCCCGTTGCTTGCCGGAAGGCGTTGTCTCGGAAGCCGACTCTGGCAAGCCGGAGATGACTAGACTCCGCCCCCTCTTATCCGCTTCCATCGCATCTGCAATGGTGTCAGGTAATTTGGCCACCAGAGCGTTTATGTACTTGGCCATTACTGGGTCTTTAATTTGCTCATTGCGCTCAATCATAGCGCTGAGTATATCACTCATTGACATTCCTGCAATTTCACTATCGGTAGGACATTGACCTGATATAATATTGCCAGAGACATTCTTACCACTGGCTGCCTGGCGTGTGCGAGATCGATTTTGTGACATGGCTAGCCTCTACAATCGCAATACTATCCAAGAAAATTCAAACTTATCTGGCGATGGATGACAGTCCTTATAAATACCTTCCACTATAGAATTTTGTCGATGAATATTTGTTATATATTATATGAATACCACGTCGCAAGATATATATGAAAATACCAGAAAAAAATATGTATAGATCTTTAGCAGGACCGGCAGCCGACCGCTCAGGACCAGGGATCGAGATCCCTGGTCCTGAGCGGTCGGCTACCGGTCCTGCTAAAGTCTAAAGCAGCATCCAAGGTTTAATGGAAATCATTTTTTTCTTTTCAATGATTATCATATGTTTCCCTAGTGGTCAATTTCAAGTACTCTCCGAATATTTACCCAACTTAAGGATCACCAGTACTGCTTTCTGTTATTAGCAAGGTGTTGATTTTCAGAGTTAGCGGTACAGCCGTCGTCTGATGAGTATGAGCCGATGAGTCAATTGCTTTGGATTGGAGGCAGGCAAGATCCAAGCACCAAAAAATGGTCATGGTCTGACGGGGAACCTTGGTCCTATACGAACTGGGACCTTGGTGAGCCGAACAATTCAAGGGCCAGGAGCACTGCGTACAGGTGGGTGCGACCAGCGTCTTCGTTACAGAGAAGTGAAATTTTCTCGTACTACATGTTGCCGTGTCACTATTCATGTCACTGTCACGAAGCCTGGCCGTAGTAGAGAAGGAGTCACACCCGGTGTCAGCCAGAGAACCGACTGGTATCAAATGTACCTGACAACAGATGTGTAAGAGTATGGCGGCCTATGCACTCAACGCACAAAAAATAGGGTCCTCGTGCTTGAGGGCACGCCACACCCACTGTGAACGGGTCTCAACACACCGCAGGCACATTCAACTCGCTATATATTCCTCTTTTCCAACACTTTTCCTGATCTCCAAGATCACTCACAAGGGAATGGTTTGAACTTCCCATGGAACTTTGAATGGAGACCTAGGTACATCGATAGAGCCTCGAATGCTGATTACGAATATGCAGATTAAAAGTGCTACGGGGACCTCCCAGACGAGTTCTGGGCGGTCAAAGTTTGCGAAAACTCGGTTTTGGCTCGTAAGCGCTGCTGATCGATCATTGGCAGTGCCACAGTGGCTAGTGGTAGCGGCCTCGCTCCAAAACCAAATGCTCGTGGGTTTGCATGACGTTGGCGCGAAAATTTTTGCATCGTCTCCCATAAAAGTCTTCACTCTAATTTTCAAAATACTTCCGTGTTTACGGCCTAGCAGAGCTATTAGATCAAGTAGATCAAGTATTTGCAGTCGATCGAGAGATGATTGATCACTATCTATCTGTCCCATCCGACAATTGAAATTTTGGCCAGAATCACAACTTGGCCAGGAACTCTTTCTAGGGGTATTTTGACCCCCTGAGCACGGATATCACATCCGTTTGACGTGAAAAGATCGGTTCCCTCGTTCACTTGATGACTACAACATTCCTATCCAAAACTTTGGATTGTTGGATGGGTAATGAGTTCAGAGATGACGGATAGATGAAATCCATACTCGATCGAGTACGTCATATTTATTTATTTGTTTATTTGTTTATCATGCCCCATAAATCCTATCCGCGGCCTCAGCGTGGCACGGGTGTGTTGGCTTCGGCCAGCGAACGGAGGGTGCCTCCTGAGGATAGAAGCATTGCAGAACTTCACTCAGGAGGTTCATTCAAATTCTGCACAATAATGATCAATGGATTTTTCAAGTATCCCGATCAGAGCTAGGTTGCCCACCGTAATGGGCCAAACTAGGACGTCCACCGTAATGGACACACAAGCTAGGAAGTCCTCCGTAAAGGACAAGCGCGAGACCATCAGGATCGCCTTACTTACCATCGGCACCCTAACCCCGTTCTGCCGAACTGACGAACATGCTGACGGAAAGGAACATCGCCATCTGCGCGCTTCAAGAAACGAAATGGGCTGGCGCTAAGACGAGAAGGATCGGAGGATTCAACTTGTACTATAACGGAGAGCGATCCAAAGTCAACGGTGTCGCCATTGCAGTGTCCCAGAGGCTAGAGCATGCAGTACAAGATGCACAACGGGTTTCCGACCGCATCATGAGAATTACTGTGATTTTCGGCAAAAGGCCACCTCATATTATGTGCATCTACGCTCCGCAAGGAAATTTGCCCACTGCCGACAAGGATAAGTTCTGGGAGCAGCTTGCCGACGTAGCATCCGCGCTTCCATTTGATGAAGACCTGTACATCATGGGTGATTTCAATGGACACATTGGCGCAAGCAACTACCAGTTCGAAGACACTCAAGGACGATTCGCCTACGGCACAAGGAATGATGATGGCATACGCATATTGGAGTTCGCCAAGTCACTTGATCTGATCATAATCAATTCTTCTTCCAGAAGAGAGAATCCCACCTAGTCACGTGCTATAGTGGGGGACATAAGACCCAGATCGACTACATTTTGACACGGAGGAGCCAACGAAGCAACGTGCTAGACTGCAAGGTGATCCCATCGGTAACGGTCAACAGTCAACATCGTCCAGTCATTGCGACCATTAAGATGCCGGCCAACTCATCTGCCTTCAAGCAGCCGAGAATCATCAGAAGGCTTTTGAGGTGGAACAGGATTGCTACGCTAAGACCAACTGTCAAGGACCACTTATCGATGAAGATCCATCAGGCCACGTCCGAAGACGTTGAGAACGACTGGAAAAGACTTGTCGGTGAAATCCGAGATTCTGCGCGGCCCATTGGCTATAAGAAAGGATTAAGCGTGCACCGGACCGACGGGCCTGGTTTTGGAACGAAGATGTCTCAGCCGCGGTCAAGGCAAAGAAAGACGCGTACAAAGCTTGGTACTCAACCCTACGAAAGAGACCAGAATGAGGTACCGCGAAACCAAGCGAGAAACGGACAATTGCTAGTGCCATTAAGAGCAAGGCAGAGCCTCTTATCGCCGATCTGGACGCCAAAGAACCACGACGTTCACTAAATCTGGCAATGGAGTGCTTCTGTATGACTTTGAGAAAATCAGGAAGCGCTGGCATGATTACTTTCAGGAAATCTGCAACGTCGAGTATCCGCATCCGGCGCTTCCAAATGAACTACCGACCCAAGGGCCCATCCCACGTATCACCGAGGATGAAGTTGAAGGTGCCATCAGGAAAATGAAGAACAGGAAGGCTACTGGTCCAGATGACATTCCCGTGGAAGTATGGAAGCACTTTGGAGGTCGCTCCTATCTAACGCAGCTTTTCAACAAATGCCTGGAAGATGGAGTGATCCCGACGGACTGGTCAAAGAGTGTCACCGTGCCAATATATAAAAAGAAGGGAGATATCGCTAACTGCAGCAACTACCGACCGATTCGCCTAATGTGCCACACTTTGAAAGTTTTTGAACGTGTGCTGGACGCCAGGCTAAGGGAAATAGTCAACATCAGTCGCATGCAGTGCGGATCGACCTGAACACGGGACCACGGATGTCATCCACGTCGTTCGCCGTCTGATGGAAAAGGCCAGAGAATGGAACAAGCCACTTCATTTGGCTTTTCTGGATCTGGAGAAAGCCTTCGACAGAGCCGCGTCAACTCATTTGGGAAGCTCTTCGGTATCAGCAAGTTCCAGAAGCACTCATTAAGGCACAGCTGACCTACTTGAACTCTACAACCTCTATCCGGACACCTGTCGGAGACACTCCACAATTCCGGGTGGCTGTCGGTGTTCACCAGGGATCGGCTCTTTCGCCACTGTTGTTCATTCTATGTATGGACTACGCTACGAGGAACATCAGGAAAGAGCCGCCTTTGACGCTGGGATATGCTGACGATGTACTGCTGATGGACAGATCCAAAGGGAAATTAGAACGGCGCGTCAACCGCTGGAAGAGAGAGCTTGCCAACCATGGACTCAGGCTTAATATAAGCAAGACGGAATACATGTGCACCACCGCAACATCGTCAATCGTAGTCGATAGAACACCACTCTCCAGAGCAAGACGTTTTCATATCTTCGGATCTACGCTTGCCGCGGACGGAGATGACAAGGCCGACACCCTTGCACGAATCAACGCTGCATGGAGCAAATGGAGATTGTTACTGGCGTTCTCTGTGATAGGAGAATACCAATACGCCTGAAGTCAAAGATCTACACTTCAGTCGTGAAGCCAGTCGCCATCTATGGAGCCGAGACTAAACAGATGACGGCGAGGAAACAAGAGCCTACGGTGTTATGGAGATGAGAATGTTACGATGGAGTCTGGGACACACGCGACTCGACCGAATCCGCAACGAAACAGTCCGAGACAGGATGAAGGTCCACCCGATTGCCAACTCCCTTGCCGCAGCTCGTCTCCGCTGGTATGGTCACGTTCAACGGAGACCTCCTGATGCGGTATCAAAGTCCGCTGATAGGGCCGTCTCCACCGGTAAAACCTAGAATGCGGTTAAAAGACAACCTGAATATGGACATGACCGCTGCTGGCCTGTCCGCAGCCGATTCTATTTACAGGGACCGTTGGAAAGCGTTGGTCAAAGAAGCGTACCCGACAACAGTTGGACAAGAACGCTAAGAAGAAGAAGAAGATTTGTTTATGCACGCATAGGTGCGCTAGCAATATAAGCGATATAATTGATCTACTTGCTCTGGTGGGCCGTAATCTCGGAGGAATTTCGAAAATTAGAGTGAAAGCCCTTATAGGAGACGAAGCAAAAATTTTCGCGCCAACGGGATGCAAACCCACGAGCATTTGGCTTTGAAGCGAGACCGTTACCACTAGGCCACGGTGGCACTGCCCACGATCGATCAGCAGCGCTTACGAGCCAAAACCGAGTTTTCGCAAACTTTGACCGCCCAGAACTCGTCTGGGAGGTCCCCGTAGCACTTTTAATCTGCATATTCGTAATCAGCATTCGAGACTATCGATGTACCTAGGTCTCCATTCAAAGTTCCATGGAAGTTCAAACCATTCCCTTGTCAGCTCCAAACCACGAAATTTGCAGCAAGCACCGTCCACGAAAGCAGCCCGCCCATTTTTAGGATTTTTTGTCCCCCTTCATAAGTCTGCTTACCCCTTGTGGACATCAATTCACTTACCCCCCTCCGTGCCTATGTTTCTCTGTAACTGATTCGTGACTTTTTGACCTTCACCCGCCCACATCGACACAGCTCAGACAGAGCGGACGCGCAAACTCGCTACACTAGCGAAGCTCCTGCACACAATTGCTCGATTTTCGCCGGTGTTTGGAGTCAGTTCCGGAACCATTTTACAGATACTGCGTTTGGCTCCGCCTCGCTTCGCCGCTTGCTCTCCCCACAATGGGTGTGTCTTGCACTCCCAAACTTATGACTCCTCTCTACTATTTCGGCATTGTGTGGAGTCTGTTACAGAACACTTCCAAACTTTTTTGTCTGGCTCCGCCCACCTCTCCGCGCCTTCCGCCTACAATGGATGAGTACTATATCGGCCGTTGATCCCTCCTGACCGCTATCCACTCTTCAGCAGTATCTGCAGTGCTCTGGAACCGTTTCATAGTGTTTTTATCTAACTCCGCCCACCTTGGGGAGTCTACGCCTACAACACGTGCGCCTCAAATTTCTTAACCTGCGACCCTTTGCTGACCTTTATCTCTACCTCTTTGTTGTCTGTTGAGTATCTGGAACCGTTTCACGGATCTTTTTGCCTGGCTCCGCTCACCTGGAAGCAGTTCCGTCGACAACGTGTGTGCTCCACGTTCCTCGACCCATTGCTGACCTTAATCCACTTTTTTGCCTGGCATCTGGAGTGCTTTAGAAACGAGCTATGAATTTTTAAAATGGGGCCATCCTATGAATGAAAGCAGCGCTGCTCAATGTGAGCGGGTCTCAACACATCTTATCCATGCCTAACTCCCAGTGTTGCCCTCCTACATAGCCTTTTTTTGCGATTTCTAAACTCTGTTGGGGACAGAGTTAATGAATTTTGTGGGAGCACCGCCTATATCACGTGCGCTCTGCTCTGTTCTTGTATGATTAGTCTGACAACCCCTTGCTAACATACTTCACTTTTTCCCCTTTTCTGGATCACTCTGGAAGCGAGTTATGAGGTTCTGCGAGTCCGCCAACTTTCGGCGCACTCCCCGCCCACTGTGGGCGGTGCTTTGCATAGGTCATGTGCACGTCTCATGCCCTATCCATCCCCACCTTGACCCGACATCTCTCTCCAGGTTGTTCTTCAGGTCGAACCGACAGCAAATTATAGACCATTTTCACTTTAAATGTTCCACTTTTCAAACCAAATTCAGCTCTTTTCAAACCAAATTCACCCCTTTTCAAACCAAATTCACCACTTTTCAAATCAAATTCACCCTCACTTTTCATCAAATTAACCACACTTATTAGGGCGGGCAACTCATCAACCAGATCACGCCAGACACCACTGCGAGCCCCGCCCCGACGGCCACGCCTACTTGTCAGCGCGGACATAGATTTTCAAATCTTGTTTCATAACTTCTGCTTATGTGACTTTTCTTATCTTTTGCTGTTTCCCACAAACACTTTGACTGAAAACGACTGAAAACGACTGGGCATTGACACATGGCCGACTCCGCCCATTCTCCAAAGGGTTTGGCAGTCTAGGCTTCACCCTCTTGACCACGCCCACTTGCTTTTCGCGGAATTTTGATATTTTTTTCAAAATTTTTGCATTTTGGACTGCCGTGAAGCCCTCGCCCACTGTGAGAGGCTCCGCCCACTTCAAAGAAGCTCCGCCCAACTTTTCAAAAATAGTGCAATTCGGCAGTGTAGGGTCTTGGCTTTCATGCTAGAGTCTCGTTGTCACTCGGAATCAGACAAAGACCAGCAATATTACATGATCAGCAATACCCTAGCATGCCAGCCGATACTCTATACTGCCGATTTGCACAGTTTTTGAAAAGTGGGCACCAAAATGCAAAAATTTTGAAAAAATAATCAAAATTCCGCGAAGTAGGCGTGGTAAAGGGGCGGAGGCTAGACTGCCAAATCCTTCAGAGAATGGGCGCAATCGGCCATGTGTCAATGCCCGGTCGTTTTCAGTCAAAGTGTTTGTGGGAAACAGCAAAAGATAAGAAAAGTCACATAAGCAGAAGTATGAAACAAGTTTTGAAAATTTACTCTCCTCATCATTACGGACTGTCGGGGCGTATCAGCCAGTAGGAGTGCGCACACTGTTTGAAGCCGTTCTCAGCCTTTTCGTTGAAACGCGTATGCAAAAAGTGGTAGAAAACGAGTAATACGAAGGATATAATGCTGTCATGTCATTTGCTCGCTTCAACAACTGGTGCAGAAAGACTTTGGCACCGCGGAAAACGCAGCCGCACTGACCCGCCCGACAAGTCCGCAGACAGCACACACGAAAAACGGAGACTTAAAAAAAAAAAAAAAAAAAAAAAAAAAAAAAAAAAAAAAAAAAAAAAAAAAAAAAAAAAAAAAAAAAAAAAAAAAAAAAAAAAAAAAAAAAAAAAAAAAAAAAAAAAAAAAAAAAAAAAAAAAAAAAAAAAAAAAAAAAAAAAAAAAAAAAAAAAAAAAAAAAAAAAAAAAAAAAAAAAAAAAACAACACAACCAACACATAACCCCCAAAAAAAAACACACACAAACAAACCAAAAAAAAAACAACCAAAAAGAACAACAGAAAAACCACACCAAGACGCCGGTACGGTCCGTAATGATGAGGAGAGTATGTCCGCGCTGACAAGTAGGCGTGGCCGTCGGGGCGGGGCTCGCAGTGATGTCTGGCGTGATCTGGTTGATGAGTTGCCCGCCCTAATAAGTGTGGTTAATTTGATTGAAAAGTGAGGGTGAATTTGATTTGAAAATTGGTGAATTTGGTCTGAAAAGGGGTGAATTTGAAGTGAAAATGGTGTTAGGTTGATGCATATGTTTTTAACCCCGACTTTTTGTAAATTTGATCCTTCCGTATTTCGTTTGCATGGATGTTGGTATTTCGTCATCACGTGTGCGTGACGTGTACATGATACTCTTTCATCACACTAGCTATCACTCACCCACCCTGCATTTGCAGGCCACAATGCCGCACAATTACCACTGTGAAATCATGTCACAGTGGTGATTGTGCGGCATTGTGGCCTTCTTCGGGTCCCAGCCCCCGTCCTTCTGGGAGGATGGAATCGACAAGCTGCCTGAGCGTTGGCGTCGAGTAGTGGATGGTGGTGATGGTGCATACCTCTAATCTTCAGGCTGGTTCGCTATTGAGATATTTACAAAAAAGTCGGGGTTAAAAACATATGCATCAACCTATTATATACCATTTTCACTTTAAATTCACCCCTTTTCAAACCAAATTCACCCCTTTTCAAACCAAATTCACCCTTTTCAAACCAAATTCACCCACCTTCCAAATCGAATTCACCACACTTATTAGGCTGCGCAATTCATCAACCAAATCACGCCAGACACTACTGCGGGCCCCGCCCCTCGGCCACGCCCACTTGCTTTTTGCGGAATTTTGATATTTTTTCAAAATTTTTGCATTTTTGGACTGCTGCACAGCTGCGGCACTTTGGAGAAGCGTCGCCCACTTTTCAAAAATGGTGCAATCGGCAGTATAGGGTCTTGGCTTTCATGCTAGGGTCTCGTTCGTCACTCGGAACAAGAAAATCAGGCAAAGTTTGTTCCGAGTGACGAACGAGACCCTAGCATGAAAGCCAAGACCTTATACTGCCGACTTGCATCATTTTTGAAAAGTGGGCGGAGCCTCTCACAGTGGGCGGGGCTTCACGCAGCAGTCCAAAAATGCAAAAATTTTGAAAAATATCAAAATTCCGCAAAAAGCAAGTGGGCGTGGCCGAGGGGGCGGGGCCCGCAGTAGTGTCCGGCGTGATTTGGTAGATGACTTGCGCAGAATTTGGTTTGAAAAAGGGTGAATTTGGTTTGAAAACGGGTGAATTTGGTTTGAAAAAGGGTGAATTTGGTTTGAAAAGGGTGAATTCAAAGTGAAAATGGTATATACAGGGGGGCCAAAAAAAGTCATTTTGCCTCCATGACTTTCAAGGCGCTATAAGTTACACTTTATTAAATTTTTATCGGACATTTTTACTACCATATTAAAGAGCACATTAAATACTATAATGATACTCCGCCACAGCCTTCTGGAGGAGCGCCATCGAGAGATTCGGCCGCGCGAAAGTGAGTGGGTACCGGAGTTGAGCGAGATCGTTGATTTCTCCGCCACTGTAGACCACCCTGTTGAGCTCCGCCCGAACCGAGTAATTGAGGGGGTTTAGTTCAGGACCCCCGCTTAAATACTCCATCTTTTCCAGGTACTCAACGTTCTTCCATTCCAAGTAGGCGAAAGTTTTTCCAACGCCCTTCGATTCCATGTGGTGGCACCCAATGCTGTAGCAGTACAAAGTTTCCAAGAAGGTACGGGCGACGACATGTGGGGAGGATATTCTTCTCGAGTTGCTCGATGTAGCCACCAGCGCACACCCTCAGTCTGGGGCCCACGAAGAAAATATCGGTTCATCCATTCCAGGTACGGCCGGTCCACACCATCAACCCGCGCCTTGGTGAATGGGGTGAAGATGATGTCCTGGACCGTAGCGACGTTGCCGGAGCTGCTCGATGTTTGAGGTCTTGCAGATCAAGAGTACTGGTCTCCAGGTAGCTATCCATGGGTGATTCCATTCAAGAAGTTCCGCAGCTGTTTGGAGGCCACGTGAATTCCAAAGGCGTTCTCCACTCAGGCCGCGACTGGAGATGACTTCATATTTTGGTGTACATGAAGGTGAATGGCGGCAGCCGGCTCCTGCTTATAGAGGAAGATCTTGGGTATCTTCCGCCCTGGTACTCATATCCACTTCCTCTGTCTGGGCTGCGAAAACTTCGCTCATATGTGACTCGGCCGGAATGACTTTTTTTTGCCCCCCCCCCCCTGTAGAGTGGGTGATACTGCTGCTCGTTGGCATAGCAGAGTCCGAGATGCGGAAGTTTCTCGCTGGATATGACTCTCCGAAGGGCAGGAGGAGGTACAAACGCATCGAGCACTGGAGTAAGCTCGCCTTATCGCATTGTGGAGAAACTTTGGTGAATATAACTCGCCATCCCACTTTCTTTGTAGTAGCAGCTAGTGTGTTCGCCATCGGATGGCTTCAATACCGGATGACTTGCATTGATCAGACACACGAAATTGCAGCGATTCCGACCAGGGCGCTTAGTGACTCGATAGCATGTCTAACTACGGTCACGTTCTTGTTCGACGAAGTGCATTGATATTCGTAGGGAAGGCTGCAGTCTCTTCACTGTAACCGGGGAAGGGGGGATTTGATGCACTCTTCCTGTGCGGGTGAGCACAAGGGCTGACCGTGCGGTGGCGGGAGTAGCGATCAAGGACCGATGTCAATAACCTTGGGGAGGGGGGGGTGTCCGTCTACGACAGGTTAAGAATGGGTCCACCCAATTTTGTTCACTTCGCTACTGATTTGTAATGATGGCTTTTCAGATGTACAACACAATTTCGCCTATCTACCCTAGTAAGAAGAATTTTGTACCGAAGAAATGGAATGATTTTTTTTGTGACATAGAAATGAGGTCGTTCGTGTGCAAAAGAGCCATGCTAGTTCAATAAATTTTGTGATCCAAGGCTCACAAAATTCACTATGAAGCTCACACTGCCTTCTCGTGGTCATTTGTTCAGGGCAATGCTGGTGAGGTTCGAGAGCAGTTCCCGCTAGATGTTTCCATAGCGATGTTTTCTGTCGTGGAAGCTCAACAATTAAAAGAAAAGGGAAATTTTCACTGATATTGGGCAATTGTGGAATCTCTCTTTCGTTGACTTCGACCTCTGACCAGTGCCTGCGAGACGCTCCAAGTTTTCTCCTTTCAGCTTAGTTTGACAGCTTTCTGTGTTGATAAGGCTGCAGAGAGAAAGTAACAATTACTGTGTTGCATCAGCTGGGTTGTCTAGCAGCAGTATTGGCTACGATAGGACAAATCTACAAATCTTCCAAAAAATGATAACATGCTTTTTTCTTAAACTAGATTTCATTTATTTTTCCCACAATCCAGCACTAGATGGTACTCTGGCTGTGGATGGTAGGAGTTTGTTAACGGTAAGTACTATGGTGGTGTTTCTCTGTATCCATGATGGAGAGGGTGCGGTTGCATTCTCCAACAGAACATCCTCCACGTAGAGCACGACGACTGCGCTTATGATAGAATATAGGCTGCCATGAGCCCAATGGTAATTGGAGACAACTGCTTCATCTTCCAGAACAAGGTCGAGCAGCAGTCGTTTCAAAGGGAAATATTAGGTTGGCCTACAGTAATGGCCTTTTTTGTCACACAAATTTTTATATGGAAAATAACAATTGTTACAAACAGACTCTACATTGTTTGATAGACAATTTTCCGCACTATAAGATAGTATAATTGCCTTCTTACTATTTCTCGACTTGTGTCGATTTTTATTTCATTGAAAGGGAAATTCGGGTCGACCCAAAAGTGAGTTTTCGACAACTACTTTTTGAATTTTATCTCGGCTCTCAGGCTACAGCAAAGCTCAAAACTTGTGGTGTATATAACCAAAAAAAGATGCGTCTTATGACAGCTTAATGGTTCAAGCGATCGAGAGATGGGAATTCGGGCCTTGTAAAAGAGCATCGCGTGGGGGCCCTCTTGGGGAGGGACTGCCTGCAGAACCTACCCACTTATTTTCGAACGTCTAACATCAACTGAGGGTGGTGGTTGATAATGATAAGGAAGCATTCTATGACCGCTAATCCCTCAACCTGTGGCATGATTCTCAGTTAATGAGGCAAATTCCGTAAGCTCTCAGTTGGACAGAATAGGGCATTAGGTTCGATGCTTGTCTGTGAGGTCGAAACTGAAATCTTCGAATCACTTGAAGTATTATTAGCATCTCTGAGAGACATAGCCTTTCAGCCAGATACTTAGCAACTTAGCGTTTTGTAAGAGGTATAAAAGAGAGACTGTCAAGAATGCTCAATTTTGTAGACCTGACACTCCATTTTCCTCACAAAAATATTAATGAAAAGAGAAACTTGAAGGAAACTAAGAACATTCTTTGCAAAATGGTACGAAACTCGGTGGCAGAGCTTTTCCTCTCCAACGCGATATTTCGAGTGGGAAAAAAAAACGCCATGACTTATGGGCCGACCCAATACTTCCCGGAAAATGCATCTACGCCATGTTCTAATGAAAAATGCAGACAAGCCCCTCTCAGCTTCGAGATATGGGGTGTGTGTGACCCCCTGCGTATGAGGACAATTACAGCGCACGAATAACAGTGAGACGTTGGTTCCAGGAAGTGTAGTCAGTGGGAGTTGGGACGTGAGCATCTATTGTGGGGAATAGGAGGTGGAACAAGTGAGATGTGAAAAAAATGCCTCATAAAGTGAGTGTAACTAACTGTAAGTTCCGCTGTGAGATTTGCAGAGGCACTGAAGCTTTCATGCCAGCAAGGTGTGAAACAATCAAATCATTGTATGAGCAAATTCTTTCTTCACAATCCTAGGATCGAACGCGGAGGGAAGAGAGACCAAACTTGGGGGGAAGGAGGCTCGAGAAAGCTGTTGTTCGAAAATCCTTCACAACCGTTTTTGCATCACTCAGAAGTGTTGGAATAAATGATTCTCTAACTTTCCTAGTTTTATGAAGCATATGTCGTGCCCATACTTGAATACGGTTCTATGGAGCCCTTACGCTAAAAAACTTCAGGCAAAAGGTGAAAAAGTTTAGCAAACTTCGACCAGAATTCTGATGTAACGATGTCATCCCAGCCCATCATATTCACGTGGTTTACCCAGCTAGAGAGCGCTTACAGCTTTTCAACCTAACGTCTTTACTATATGGAAGGGTGTTTTATGACATTTTGTTCTGCGCTTCGGGTAACTCAGCCAGGAGATTAGGACTGAAGCCTAGTAAGTACTGGGCAATCAGGCCAAGCAGGAGCGGTTTTTCTTTGCTGTCCCTACAATGCCCGAATTCGAGCAATAGCCATCAATCTAAGATATGTAACTCACTATTTTTTCGTGGAGCTTCAGTCACTGCCATCGGTCCCAAATACCAACGGTTCAAAAGGAAATCGTAAGAAGCTGACCTACTCGCTTTATTAGGAATTAATGAATTCCAGAATGTTGAGATGTGAAGTTTTCTGCTAGCGTGTATTTTTGTCTGAATTTTTCGTGTCTTTTTTCTCTATATCGATTGAATGGTTTCGCTGTCTAACCCATCCAGTTTCGAGCACATTGTAACGCACCCTTGCTTGCATAGTAAATGAATGAAGGAAAAAATAAATAAGTAAATAAACGTGATGAAAATTCGCCCAACTTTGTAGAAGGACGATGACATTCTGGGATGTTGCTCTACAGACTGCAGACTGCTTTGTTTTCTTCGAAGCGCTTTAGAACCTTTATGAAGGAAGTGAGAGAGGAAATTGTGCTGTGACGACATCTCCAATTGGCTTTCTTTACTCACCTGTCTCTAGCATACAGAGATAATATGGTTATTGCTTTGAAAAACAGTAAAGAGACACCTGAAGATCGCAAGAGGCAAGTTGCAAGCTCAGAAGTGGGGAATGGGTGGTGTGAAGTGATACAGTAGCCGCTCACAAAGGTTGATAAGGAAGCGGAGCACAGTGTAGGCTGGATGTTTATGAACTGTAGAACCACATCTGCTTTAACGGAGAAGCCTGACATGGAAGTTGCACCTTTCCAACACCTCTACGTGGCAGTCGGATACATGGCGCAGTACAGAGGGGATGTCAATCGGCGCCGAATGAGCTATCTCCCAACGAGTTCGACGAAAAGATGTATTCCAGAAAATTACTCATTCTTCAAGAAACTGCAAATGACACTGCACCGGTGACGTGGATCTTTAGCATCTAAAAGAAACGGGGAATTTTTCAGATAGTGAGAATAGGAAGAAAAATGAGGGGCATCACATGTGAAGAAAGTTACAGCTGCTGGGCACTTGTTAACAAGACTTCGCTCTCGCTGCAAGGGTCCAGGGGCATATTCACGGGCATCTACCAGTCCACTATTTTAAGGGAGTAGATAAGGGAGGAGAATGGAGGAAGAAAAAGAATGAAAAAGGGAAAAAAGGAAAGGGAAGAGAGGCTCCCCTGTTGACAAGTGCTCTGACAATGAGACTGCTTTCCCGCCTTTTTCGTCTTTTTTTTGTTGATTGGGAGGGGAAGGGGGGAATCGTATTCAGCAGGAGTTCATCTCAGGCTTGCCCTGCGTTGGTTGTGCGAAATCGCGAGACGGCATCCGGGACCAATCTAGCCTGCTCCACAGCAGTTTTGAACGGAGAAGTGGGACGATATAGCGGCACTTGGCCAGGAACACAGTATCCAGTAGTAAGTGCACACTTGTTCTCTAACATTCATCCTACACTTGACTCTTATCCTTTAGCTTTAGCGTTACGGTCTCAGGGACCTTTGTGCACTTCATTCATGGCTCTTGGGTAGTGTGTTCGGTGGTTTCCCATTCAGTCTGTAA